TGTGTGTAATAGAAATACGCCATTATTTTATTTGTTATCAGCAAAGAAAGCCAATTAGAATAATAAAATTGAAATTGTAAATAAAAATTAAAAATAAAATTATAAATAAAAATTGAAAATAAATAAAATTAAAATTGTAAATTAAAATAATAAAATTAAAATTTATTATTAAATAATAATAGTTAAAATTGTGTGTAATAGAAATACGCCATTATTTTATTTGTTATCAGCAAAGAAAGCCAATTAAAATAATAAAATTAAAATTGTAAATAAAATTATGAATAAAAATTAAAAATAAATAAAATTAAAATTGTAAATTAAAATAATAAAATTGAAATTTGTTATTAAATAATGAAATTAAAATTGTGTGTAATAGAAATACGCTATTATTTTATTTGTTATCAGCAAAGAGAGCCAATTACTTAATAACAGTCTTCCGCTACGTAAAATGTTGAGATAATAATTCCGAAAAGTCGGGAAAGAATTTTTGTGCTCCAATTGCCGCGTCTGGAAAGAGTAGAACCTATATCCTTTGAAACGACCTGATGAATAAAACGGAACGGATTAGTTAAGATCCAAAACTATTCATTTCCTGTTTCGTACGTTTGAAATTTGTTAAATGTAAGTATACATTGTACGTATAAAGAAAGTTTAAGAAACTTGTTTTTATATTTATTGAAACAAGAGCAAGATTGGGATAGAAAAATTCTCGAGGATCGTAGGTTGAATATTGACTCGTGTGAAGCGTGCGCGTGCGACTGTCTATTTGTCAATGGAAGCACTGTCGGCGCGAATCCGACGGAAGTCACGCGCTGGAAAACGGCTTTCATTGGACGACGAGCGATCATCTTTCTTGATCAGGCAACTCGAGTGAAGAATTGAGGACTCGTTTAGTAAAATTCCGACATGTGAACGTAAGTAACGAGACGCTCGCTTCGTCAGCAAATAAATTCGTCGTAAATTGTAAAATATTGCACAGATCGTGTGTGAAGTGTCCGAAGCGTTTTCTTCCTGGGTGGCGAATTAATTATTATTTACAAAGTGTTAGAAAAATGATCAGTCTGTGATATTTCACGGGATTTTATAGATTACATTTCGAAGATTGATATATTAATTTGTAGATTTACGACAGTGAATTTTATGAGATTTAAATGTTTCCCTCCGTAAAAAAGTTGTAGAAATTTAATAGATTTACGACTCTGTATTTTTAGAGACTTGAACAATTTTCCGTAAAATGTAGTAGTTTGAATGTTTGATTTGTAATTTTTTATAGAAATTTTATACATTAGAGATCTGAGCTGAATTTTCGTAAAATACTATATAAATAAAAATTATTCATTATATCATAAGCTTTTTTCCTAATTTTTCACGCTTTCATTTTCATGATAATTTAACCACCAGCGAGATCAGGAAATCACGTTTTAACATGTTCGCCCGCTTTTTCCCCTCTCTTTCGACTCCTTTTATTTTTACGTGCTTTTTGCGTCACGAAACCTTTCTCACACAGCGACGGGTCATCGAAAATTTGCTAAATCATACTGCCTTGCAGATTTCCTGCAAAGCTTTCTTACGATATATTCCTCCCCTGTTTTGAATTTAAGTGTTTGCCTTTAATCTCGGCTTTCTATCAACTTCGTAGCGCGTGTTTTGCTGCTTCCGGCGTTAAGTATGATGCATTTATAAAGTAGCTACGTTGCCGGCCGTCACGTTGTCAATAAGCGTTGATAAATTGAACGTACGTTAGAATTGATAGCGTCAGAGTTAATAAACGTAACAAATAAACGACACACAACGGAGGTGCAATTAAACTTTAATCTCTAATGTAACGTGTAATTAACATTAAATTTTCTAATATTTTTAAATGCGTATTCTCGGAAGTTTAAAGCAGTCTCCTCCTCTTCGAAATTAATTCTTCTCGGAAACATGAATATATTAATTGATTAGATTATACGTTGATGATACGTTTTATACAATTTGTTAATGTTCGATGTTTAAATCTTCAATTTAAAGAATTGAAATTTAAAATTCAAATTTCAAATAATTTATACCATAAGCGTGAGTGAATATTATAAGGGAGTTAAATTATCTGAAGAGTCTAAATCTCTACTACTTGACATCATAAATAAAATATTTATATTTCATTTACTCAAGTAAGTTATTATTTCTTTTGAAACGCTAACGTGCATCAAATTTTTCAAGTAATAGTGCAATTCAAGTTATTATGCAGATTATTCTCGTCGTTGATAAATTCATCGGACGGATCAAGCTACGTACCTATGCGCATCTTCATGTTCATAAAATATTACGATGGACTGCTTTATCCTCGGTCCCTGACTTTCTTACACAGATTGGATGAATCGTCATTATTCATTCATTGCTATACTTAATAGAAGCTGGATTTTCAAGTGTACACGTGTTCGATGACTAGCCATCTCTTCGTCATGAATTATGAAGTTTACTCAACTGACATCGCGCCACTAGGTATTTTCCAAGTACTATTCATCCACGAGATCACTCTATGTTATCAGTATGTGAATTCATATGGAGTGTAATATACTCATTTTGTAAAGTTTATATAATACTTACCAAGTGTGTAATAAGAGAAAAAATTTCCATCTTTCTTTCTCACAAAGCTATACATTGTGCTCGTACATAAACAGATTGCACGTACACTTTATGATACAACTGTTTCAACACTTTACAGATTCTTTCTTATGTGAAGTATTATTGAATTTCTTCAATTTCAAACTAAACTTTTGAGCAATGACATTTGAGGAGCAAATTTTTGCATTACGTTTATTATTTTAGTTTTATAGATGTTGTTTTTTTGAATATTTTAGCTTCTTCAGTCACATTTCAACGTATTATAATTTGAAGCAAAAATATATTTACAAATGTTATTGTTATTATAAAAGAAACAATATTATACTCATGAGAAGAATTGATATTAAAAAATTTTTAATTACAGCGTCTCCGAAATGAAAGCAACGTGACGTACAATGATTCTCTTCAGAATCGTAGATACAATAGACGTATCATAGCATCTTATTCAATCCTCAACCAACCTTCCAAATTCTCAAACGTCTTAAATCTTCGCGCGAGTATTCTATTATAACATTCACAAGACCACGCGTCGTTACGTAATTTTTTTTTTTTTTTAACGAACGATATACCTAAGGCCCCGCGACCGTGACGACGTCCCTCTTGGCCCTAGATCCCGTAACATTCGCAACGTGTTGCCGGTATTCAATCCCGAGCCGAGCAAACCGCGCTGTTTCTCGTTTTTCCATTGAGATTCCGTCGCTCAGCGTCCACGGTGTCTGAGCCAAGAGAAGAGAAGAGAAGAGACTTCGCTTCTCAAAGAGGAACGATCCTGACACGATAGGCCGCCGTGCAGAAATAAATCCAGAGACAAACAGAGACGGACACGAGAAAGATTAAACTATGGACAAGACGCAGTAGACTCACTCTTATCCGACCTTGTTTTTAATTATTTTATTGTTCGATTAACAACGACGTATCCTCGAAAAATTCACGAAAAACTCGTACTTTTAAATGACAAATTCGCGTTTGAAATGACGAGTGCGCAATTTCAGAAATATACGAATCTATACGATCTCGAGGATTGTACAACAATTGGTAACAGTTGCCAGTGTATCGGATGCCACAGAAAGTAATTTTTCTATTCTATTTTTCACTTTCTATTATATGATCGTTTTGGAATGCTTTTAGCGCGAGGCAACGATACTCTTGTTTCAACGTAGCTGCGAATTCTATAAATCGCTGCTACAAAAAAAAAAAAAAAGAACGAAATTTTATCACGTTTGTCTGTGATATTCGTTCCTGCCGTTTCGATACCTAAACCTAATCTAACAAAGACGAGGTTAATTTTCGCTGCCTCTTCATCTGAACATGTTAATTTATTCTTCTTATATAAAAATAAAATAATTAATTAATTGTTCCATTATCCGACACGAAAATATAAATTAGAGTGGGTAGAGTGAAACATACGCGATTATTTTTCTTTTCAAATATGGGATAGTGATAGCTTCAGTTGAGAGAGAAAGAGAGAATGCAGGGTTTAATACGCAAAAAGGATGGAAGAAAAAGAGCAGTGGAAGGAAGAGAATGTCGGACTGAAACGAATGTGCTTTTATATTGGCGAGATAAAGAAGCGTTCGATGAAAGAACGATGAAAGGAAAAAAGGGGCGAGAGAGGAAGGGAATGAGAGAGAAAGAGAAAGCTTCGGAGACCCATTTCGCATACTGCAGAGAGCTAGTCAGCGGCTAACTATAAGAGGAGCTATCTATAAACCGGACTCCCTGCCCCCGGTCGCTATTTCCAGCGTTGCGCTTGTCGCATTGCCAAACCCCCCTTGGTCTGTTCGCCCTTCCTCCCTCTTTCTCGCCACCCTTTGGCCCGTGACCGCGTGAACCTCGCGCTCTTCCACGTACCTTCTTCGACTCGATTCCTCATTTTCGCAAATTTTAAGGCATTTCGTGTTATTTTAAATTCAAACTGATTGTGAGATGAGAATTCGCGTAAATTTCCCCCTTTTTTTCGTATTCTGATCGATGCTGAGCCACTCGCTCGAAAAATCAGTCATTAGCGATCGACTACTGCGACTATCGAAAGTTACAGTTAATTACAATAATATACACAATTAATAAATATTAATACATAATTACACATATTTTAATAATAATGTATTCATTCGAATTATAATGTATTTATAAAATTATGAAATGTATTTATAAAATATTATGTATTTATAAAATTATAAAATGTATTTATAAAATATTATTAAAATTTATAAATGCATTATATTTATTCGAGTTGCATATTGAAAAGGTACTTTTATCTTCCTGTATCTTATAAATTCATAGTTTCTTTACAGATAGCGAAAAATTACACTTTGTAATTGAAGTTATTTTATGTAACAAACTCGTATATAGTTAATTTCACTTCATATTTCTAACATCATCAAATTTTGTTTCAGATAGACTGTCGATACAACTATATCGGAGCATCGATCAATAATGCTGTAGACCTTTGGCCGCCAGTTTTCGTGTTGAAATAGCAGCAAAATTGTAAGTAATTCGTGTCACACTATGTTGTTCCAGGAATTAGTATAAAAATCCTTAGACCTCCATAGGACATGAATTATTACATTATTAAAATTATTTTGAACATTTTCTTCGACACGTCTGTCACAAGAATTATGAACCGATTAGCACAAAAATATCACAACGTTTTCATGGTTCGTTCTCACGATATAACATAACGACCGTTTCAGCAAACACTTTTTACGAGACACGCTGGTCACATCGTTATTAAAGATCCAAAGAAAGCGACCGCCGTTAAAAATCGATCCGCCATGTGACGTCAACTCGTTTTTCTTCCAGACGCATTTTATTAACATACTCACACTCGATCGCTTTCGCGAATGGTGGCGGTAATTTGCATTGCTGTTTCAGAGAAATCGATTTTGTTTTCTTTTTTTCCTTTTTTCTTTTTTTTTTTTTTTTTCTTCTATCACCGCGTAAATCAAGCGTGCTCTCGATCGTTTCTTTCTTTTCTAAATTTCGGTTGAGGAAGAGAAGCGAGTTAGAAACACGGACTGTATATCTTGAATAATCGGTGGATTCCTGAAGTATCCATTCGTTTTCGAACACGCAGTCGCGCATGTCATCGTGAAGCGTTAATTTGTTCAGTAACCGAGCATTTCTGTCTATACGTGCGAAAAATATGAAACGGTAAACGCATAAATTAGCGAGTAAATTTTACGTGGAGAAGCTCTCCTCGCATAAATTGTTAGAATTGTTAGAATTGTTATTAGGCTGTTGGAAATATCTGAATTTTTTAGTGAAAATTCAAACGTTCCTTGAAAGTGGTATTAACCTTTGGACAACTATATTTTATAATTAGTATTCAAGTAAGATTTGATACAACCGTATATTTTTCTTTCGAATTATTATTATTTTTTTTTTACTATTATTTATATTACGATAGTATATTTCTTTTTTCGCATTAGATATTTCTTTTATTGAATATTTTAATATCTAGTTATTCTGACAAATAATAATTGAAAAAACAAATATATTTACAAGTATCATATTATTATTCTATTTATATTATAACGCTGTTTATTTTATAATTTATTTTATTAATCGCTCCAAACTTGCGCAATAAATATTAACGAATAATTTGTTCCTATTGTCATTTCTTCATATTATTGCGAAGTCGACTGTTTCGCATGCAATTGTTCATCCATCACACGTGGAATCAAAGAATATATCCTCTTTCGTATACAATTAATCAAACGTTTAATGTATTATGTATAACGCATAAAACAATTAATTGAAACAGCGCCGGTAAAAATAAACGATCGACGGCTGATTATGGCGGACTGTTTTAATATTCAACGGTTCCGTTTTAATATTCGATCGCTGCGCGGACTCCACGCTTCGATTCGTTAATAATCGGCCAGGAAATTCGCGATCGTAAATCGGATCAACGTTCGTGTTACCGACGCCACGTCCGCCTGTGTCCGTGTTAGCGTGTTAATTAGCGCGATGCGACGTCTAGGACGGAACCGTTAGTTATTACAGAATAATAAGCCGAGTTTCAATCGAGAACGCTAATTATTAATTACCGTGACTTACGTGGACGCTGCAAATTGATTAATCCGATCGTTTCCAAATCGTATGTGTGTTTCATTATTAATCAGAATCTCGGTTCCTCGCCAACGCCGGCAAACGTAGAGATATCTGCTTGAAAAATCGTTTGAAAAATCGATGAAAATTGGCTTCGTAAACGTCGCTATGTGTGCAAAAATTTTGTGGTCTCTTGTTGTCGTTAGAGAACGGGGAAAGAAAAGTATTTGGAAGATTTTGAATTTTCTGACTGAGTGATTTGAATGTGCACTTGATATAGATGAATTTTGGTTCACAATTATTTCTTTTCGTAATGCTTTCGTCGCTAGAGGCACCGCAAAAGTGGAATTGCCTAGATCATATAATAAAATAAAGTGGAGTGTAACGGGGAAAAATTTGACCAATTAAAAGTTTGCAACCACACGGTTTGAAGGTTTGGAAATATTCGAATCGATCGTGCTGGATTAATTTCAATGTGCGCTTTGCATTAATTAAAAAAATTCTCTTCGTGTCGATGCTTTCCAAACGAGTGTTGCACGCTGGCAAGAACACAATGTAATAAAACATTCCGTTCACGCTTTGCAAACATTGTCCAGCCACCGTTTACCGCGCGAGAAAGCATCGACGAAAAACAAGAGTGCGCCAATTAAAAGTTATCAAAATCTCGCGAATTATTTTGTACTCACATTCGAGTCTAATTGAAACAAGACTGAGGATCTCGAGAAATGGGTATTTATTTTGGTTTAATATTAAATATTTAGATACTTTTCGAAGAGAGTTCGTACATCTGCCAAAGAATAAAAATAAATTTGAAATATTGTGATGCTATGTGAACTTTTTACTCGTTTAGATATTTCATGAGTCGTGCATACTGTATCAAACATGCAAAACAGCAGGAACGAACGAATCGTTTGCGTATGCTGTTTGACACACAAACAGCGTGAGATGAAAAAGCATAACTGTAGATAATTTGAAGATAGATGTACAGTAATAATACTTGTAAATATATTTTTCTCTCATATTATAGTAAATTTAATAAATTTAATAAAATTGAAATGTTTAATAGAAGAAGATTCTAATATAACAGTTTATAATCATTTGTTTATAATTATTTGCACTTTTAAGATAAATATGTCTGAGTAAAAGAAAATAATAACATTGATTTTTCCTTTCAGTCTCTACATACTGGAATTACATAGAGAACTAGAATATTCCACAAAAGATGTTAATAAAAAAATTTGCTGATTATTCCTTGTAGTTGCAAAGTAAATGTATATGAGTAAAATATAATAATATTTACAGGTATTTTTCTTTTTAATTATATTAGAATTAATACATTATTAATATAATTGTACGGATATCAATCACTCAAGAGGGTAAAATATTCGATAAAAAGAAACATCTAATAAAATTCACAGCTTCTCTGTTTATTCGTATCTTTTGTATGAAAAACATTGTCCATTCTCGTTCGAATAAAAATCCGCGCAAGTATACAAAACTATCTGCTAGTCGAGTGTTGAAATAAATTCTAAAAAATTGTTCCCGCGTTGTACCGAAAGACACGACTCGAATCTTAATTCGAAACGACTTCCTCGTATGCCGGGAACGAGAAGCGGAATCGTATCTCGCGTTAACGACACGCGTACGCGCATACATTAAAACTGCAGGTGGGTGTCGTGCGCGCGAATCCATTTACTTTTGTGTAAGTACGAACTGCGTTTGTGTGCACACGGTGAGATTCAATTAGGCGTGGACTCGCGACAGATCGAAGCTGCACTCGGGGTCAGTGCTCGGACCTATTTCAACGTTGAGCCGCTTTCATTGGCTAAATTCTATTATTTATTTACGGTCGTGCTGTTCTTGCATCGGGCTTGAGAGAGTGGATAAAATCGAGGCTTCCCATGGCTTCGGAAAGACTCTGTCGCTAACAGGTGAACGAACGGAATACGATTGGAGATCAAGAAGATTACCATAAAGATAGGAGAAACGCTACTGTCAATTGTTGGAATTAATTATAGCACTGTTTTTAGAACCGATTGAAAATATCATCAAGTATTTCACTTACTTTCAGCACTTTATTTATTTATTTTTTTTTTTTTTAATTGCAACGGTATACAGAGTGAAGCAATAATAATAGTTCGAGAGAACAGCAATAATGTCGGAAGCAAGTTATCGTAGCAATAGTCATTAAAGTTTGCTCTGTTGTATTTTGATGATAGTATGTTTAAATATATAAATAGTAAGTACAATAATAATAGTTCGAGAGAACAACAATGATGTCGGAAGCAAGTTATCGTAGCAGTAGTCATTAAAGTTTGCTCTGTTGTATTTTGATGATAGTATGTTTAAATATATAAATAGTAAATACAATAATAATAGTTCGAGAGAACAACAATGATGTCGGAAGCAAGTTATCGTAGCAATAGTCATGAAAGTTTGCTCTGTTGTATTTTAATGATAGTGTGTTTAAATATATAAATAGTAAATACAAGTGAAACAATAATAATAGTTCGAGAGAACAACAATGATGTCGGAAGCAAGTTATCGTAGCAATAGTCATTAAAGTTTGCTCTGTTGTATTTTAATGATAGTATGTTTAAATATATAAATAGTAAATACAAGTAAAACAATAATAATAGTTCGAGAGAACAACAATGATGCCGGAAACAAGTTATCGTAGCAATAGTCATGAAAGTTTGCTCTGTTGTATTTTAATGATAGTATGTTTAAATATATAAATAGTAAATACAAGTGAAACAATAATAATAGTTCGAGAGAACAACAATGATGTCGGAAGCAAGTTATCGTAGCAATAGTCATTAAAGTTTGCTCTGTTGTACTTTAATGATAGTATGTTTAAATATATAAATAATAAATACAAATATATAACAGTATATAAAAAATCATATGAAATCAATAGAGATTTGCATAATGTTGAAAACATCGTGTCTAGTAAGTTCATCGTACGAATTAATAATTAAATCGTATCGAATAATATCGTAAATCAAGATTGAAAACTATCACAGTGATATTTAATGTATACAATATAATAAGATTCCATTTAAATTCGTTATTTCACAAAAGGATAATTAAATAATTCTCTTATTGTTATTCATATCGATCAGGACGAATCGAACAGTTTCGAATCTTTTACTGTTGGCTGTGCAGCTGGTATTCAATTGCTGGCTTCTGCGTGTCGCAAGAACAAGAAGCCACGAAACGATGATGTTCGTTTGAATTTTACGCATCGGTTTTCACGGTGTACAGTAGCGTTTTTGCCGTTTTATGTTCATTCACCGTTTCGTCGATCGTGAAATTATACGGATGATTGAAATGTTTGAATGGCAGTAAAAGGAAATTCCATTCAACATTCCATGTAACATAATTTCCACAGTCTCTCTTTCTCTCTCTATCTATCTATCTATCTATCTTCT